ATATATATATATATATATACTTGATAAGTAGTATTTCGAGTCAAAACGAGCCGAACACGAACGAACATATCTTAGTTCGTGTTGGGCTCGTTAACTTATCAAACAAAATTAACGAGCCGAACACGAACTTCTTAACTAGCCGAACACGAGCTGTTCGCGAACAACGAGCCCTTTTTACAGACCTAGATGTACTATTCCATTAAAAAACATAAAAATTAATAAAAAATTTCGAGCTAATTTTTTTCCAAGCTGAAATCGTCGTATTAATTCCATTACAAAAATTAAGCATTTAAAATGCCGATCTGTCTATGTCGTCTCCTCCTTTTTATTTTGTCGATGAAAGCGAGGTCCGTGGAGAAGGTACCGCGGTCTTAGGACGAAACGAGACTTCGATCCGTCCGCCTACCTAACGGCCTCCTACCCTTCGCGCTTCCATAAATCCCACCTCCTGAGCTCTCCCTTTATCGAGCTGAAAATCCCACCTCCTGAGCTCTCCCTTTATCGAGCTGAAAATCTCAAGGTTATTTTATTGTTATGGCGGCTGTTCTACAGGCGGCGGCGCTCCTGATGGGGTTCCAGAGCGGCATCGAGAGATTTCGGCTCAGATCGGTGCTCCGATCCTCTCCGGGTTAGGCTGTTGTTCTTCCTAAGAAATATGTGCTTCTTCCTGCATCGTTTCTGTGATTTTTTTGAATGTGATATTGTAACTTCGGTTATTTTTGTTCGGTGTGATTATTGAGGTTTCCGAGCTTCTTACGTGGAATCCCTGTAGAATTCTGTCGTTCTGTTTTGTTTGGTTCTCCTTGTAGTGCGCTGGCTATGTTGTTGATGTGAAATCAAGAATTTTATTATTTTTTCTTTTTTGTTTTTTTGGGTTTCTATGGTAGTTGGAGTTCGATCTGTCAATTTTTAAAAAATTTTTTGTGGCTTATCTTGGCAGTTCCGCTGGAGCGTGCTTTGGTCGTTAGAGCTGATGGGAGGTTATCTGCAATTTCTGGTGTGATGCCTCGGAGTGTTAGGTTGATCCCAAATGCAGTTGCAGTTAAGTGTTGTTTTGTCTTTATGAATTGGTTCTCACCATATGCCAGTTTTTATTTGGCGCTGCAAGATTAGCATTTAATTCCCATGTGACTTCAACTTCATAGTTTAATGTAAGTGAAGGCAATGGAAAAACCTCTTTTTGCATTCTCTGTTTTTCTACTAAGCGTTGATTTTTTATTTGTTTTAGGCCAAGGCCGATACTACCGGTACCTCTGCTGCCTCGAAACCAGGGTAACCCATGCTTTAGTAATCAGGATTTGTAACCAAATGTGTTTCTTTTTTACGGAAAATTGTTTAAATTAATTATGCTATCTCTTTTTTTCTCTTCAAACTTATTTGACATAATTATTCTGTAAGCCAAATAACTGTTTTTTTAGGGTATGTTGTGTTTCGAAGCACAATACTCACACATGATCATGCTACATTCAAACCCTTGACCTCTAAAATGGGTTCTCAAGCATCAACCATTAGGCCATCAGCAAATGAAGAAATTGGTTTCTTTTACTATAGGCTAACAAACTGTGATGGCTGAATTGTTTTTTCTTTTTTGTGGCCGTTTGGTTTGCTAAAAAAGAAATGCAATGTAAAAGGTTTGCATAGTACCATGATTACAATGTATTTGAAATCAAGTTGCTTATTCACTATAAAATAAACGTTATATTTTATGTATTTTTTGTTTGGTTTGAAGTACATTGAAAACAATGCATTTCAAAATATATTTTTTGGTCTAGTGACAGTTGAGGTGGCGACGACGACAATGGCGGCTGGGGGTGTTGGCAGGCAGGCAGAGGCTAGCGACAGGCGAGCGAAGGCTGGCTACAAGCAGGCGGGAGATGATAAAGGGAAGGCGGCAGGCGGGTGGGCAAATGCAGGCAGCGGGCGGGAGGGTGACGATAGGTGGGCAAGTGGTGGCCAGTGGCCGGGGGGGGGGAGGGGCTGAGCAGCAGCCGACAGTAGGCGACGGGCTGTGGAAGGCCAGTAGTGGTGGCGGCTGGCAGGGGGCAACGGGTGGTGGAGGGCAGCGATAGGCAGTGACGGCTTGCTTATAGAATTTTACATGAATGATGTAGTCTAAATTTAGCCAAATCGGTTGAATTCCAAAATTTAGCTAAAATGACTACAGTGCCAACTTCAAATTCATTCATATTTTACATTGTATTTATAAGTCATTATACCAAACACAAAATCTTTTCAAATCCCTGCAAAAGAATTACAATACACCGCTAACTCACTCAACCAAACAACCACTTTGTTAGTTCCTCTAACATGGACTTGTGCTTCTTATTATAACTTTCATCTATAGAAAAGGATAGAGCATAGATGTGTAAAAATAGTAAGATTGACTGCCTTTATGGCAATTTTCTTCATTCATATATGCATAAACAAATATGTATCATCTCATGTTGAGACATAAATAACCTAATTGTATTAAGTAATGATATTGATCAACATGTAAAAAAGATGAGTAGAAGTGCAAATTTATGCATCTTGGTTATTGACAGATAATGTTTCTTGTTGACTTGACAAGTAGAGGCAAATTTGAGATATTGATTGGTGTTTGTGGATTTATTAATTGATATTGTGTTTTGGCATAATTGTTTAGAGCTACCTAAAAAAATTTATTTTGCCTTCTAATTTCTAATGATTGAATCACGCATAATGTGAAAATATCAAAACTAAAATTTTTTCATTCGAAATTCAAATGGTCCAGGCAAACTCTAATCAGAGAATGATGTTAGGATACCAATGAGAACCTAAATTTTGATGGTATAGAGGGACCTTTACTGGAGGGGAATCTATATAGGGACTTACACTCCATAGAAAGGCACAATGATTGTATTCATTGTAGAAATAGTGTCAAGATATATCCTTTAAATGCTACTACAAAATTTCATTTTATCTTAAAGTTCTAGTAACTGAAGAATGCGAAAATGTGAAAATGTGAAAATTATCACAACAACAACAACAACAACAACAACAACAACAAAGTCTTAATCCCACTGTGGGGTTGGCTACATGAATCCTTTTTCTCCATTGCGTCCTATTTAGTGTCATATTTTCATTTAGTTCTAGTAAATTAAGATCATTTTTTATACAATAAGCCCAAGTCTTCCTAGGTCTACCTCTGCCTTTCTTAACACAAGTCGAATCTAAAACATCTAGTCTCCTAATCGGATCATCAGATGGTCGACGCTTAAAGTGACCAAACCATCTAAGACGACTTTCTCTAATTTTGTCCATCACAGGAGCTACACCAACCCTATCACAGATATATTCATTTCGCATTTTGTCTTTAAGTGTAAAGCCACTCATCCACCTAATCATTCTCATCTCGGCAACACTTAACTTATTATTATGCTTCTCTTTCAAAGGCCAACATTCAGTGCTATAGAGTATTGCAGATCTCACCACTGTCTTATAAAATTTTCCTTTCAGTCTAAGCTATACTTTTCTATCATAGAAAAACTTCAACCAACCACTTCAACCAACCAACTTGAATTCTACTATTAACATCCCCATCTATATCACCATTTCTTTGAACAACGGACCCAAGATATCTAGGTTCACACTTTTTAATAATCTGTCACTATAGCTATTACTACTAAAATTACATTCTATGTCTTCAGTTTTAGTTCTACTTAAATGAAGGCTTTTAGACTCCAATGTAGACCTCCATAATTCAGGTTTTTCCTGGGATTTTTCTCTCGTTTTATCCACTAGAAGGATATCATCAGCAAAAAACATACGCCAAGGTACATCCTCCTGTAGATGTCCAGTTAGACCATCCATAACTAAAGCAAAAAGATATGGGCTTAAAGCCGATCTTTGATGTAATCCAACAAAAATAGGAAAAATAGGAAAATATCCTCCTTCAGTTTGAACACAAGTAACAACTATAGTATACATATCTTTAATGACTTGAATATAAGCCATATCAACACCTTTCTTCTCAAGAACTCTCCAAAGGATATCTCTTGGAACCTTATCATAAGCTTTTTCTAAATAAATAAAAATCAAATGTACATTCTCCTTATTATCTATGGACTTCTCCATCAAACGTCTCATTAAATGTATCGCTTCCATAGTAGACATGCCCGACATAAATCCAAATTGATTATGAGAAATCTTTGTGATGCGTCTTAACCTATGTTAAATTACCCTCTCCCATAACTTTAAAGTATGACACATCAACCTAATCCCTCTATAATTTGCACACTCATGTGCATCCTGTTTATTCTTAAAAATGGGAACCAAAATACTTTTTCTCCACTCCTCAGGCATCTTTTTAGTTTTTAAAATAATATTAAAGAGTTTAGTAAGACAAGAAACTTCCAAATCTCCTACAAATCTCCTAAATATTTCCACACTATCATCAGGACCTACAGACTTTCCACCCTTGGTTTTCTTTAAAGCCTCCTCAACTTCTTTTTTACTAATGTGACGATAAAAATGAAACGTTTTATTATAATTCACGATATTAAGATCACTTAGGTGGATCGTATTTTCAGAAACTTCATTGAAAAGTTTATCAAAGTAACTCACCCATCTATGTTGAATATCTTTTTCTAAGAAAAATACTTTTTGATTTTCCTCTTTAATACACTTTACTTGAGTTAAATATTTACTGTTTTTTTCTCTTTGTTTGGCTAGTTTATACATATATTTTTCACCCTCCTTAGTATCTAATATACTATAAATATCATTAAAAGCATAATTTTTAGCGTCATAGATTGTTTCTTTTAGACAATTAAAAAAAATTTAATTCAAATTTTAAAAAATTCCTTTCCATTATAGTTGTTGGACATATGGAGTTGCATTATAAAAATTTTCATAAGAAAATGCATAAATCATGGAATTGGCATCATTATTCTAGCAATATATTTCTTAATGCGTGCAGAGAATTTGCAAGGAACTCATCATACATTCTGTTACGTGACCTTTTAATTATTTTAATGGTTGAGAAGCTTTATGGCTGACAATTTATTTCAATTATAGTAGTAGATATTCACGAAGTTATTGCAAGCTTTATTAATTCATTAATAAAGGAATAAATTAGTGACATCCTCGTCATTGCCAAATTTGGTGCAACATTGAAAGAGTGGATGCCTTGTCAACTCATTTTGACATGCATCAAGTTCAATTAGTTTTGACACTTAAATGCAAGTTGCCATATTTGACTTAATTGTTAAGATAAAACTTATTCATAAATTCATGAGCACTTTTATCATTGATTTGTTGATATCCATTTTTAGAATTCAAAGTGTACACCTAGAGTATTTTAAGGATAGACTCGCCAACCGAACTCAAGGCGAACTTGCTAGCTAGGTTCAAAGCTACTTGCCAGTTGGATTTGAAGTAAATTTTGCAAGATTGTAGAAATTTTGACAAATGCATGATGAAATTGCTGACCAACTAATCTTGTGCTTTGTCAGCCACACTCAAGAACTACTTGGCAAATTCTCCAAACAAACCGACGACTTTCTTTGAGGTAGTCGACGGAAAATCTAATTTCTTACTTTGGCTACACAACTCTTTATTTTATAAAAGTACGGATATCACACAACTTGACAAAGTTAATTTAGTTGAGTTGACGAGATTCGGCTAGGGCCCTGAAACACCACTTGGAGGATCCAAATCTAGGATACACGAAATAAACAAAACACAATGCAGAGTCTTGTTAAGGAAAACCTTATTTATTATTCATCCCCTTCATCCCAATGCCTCTTGCCTATTCATGTACAACAGGATAGGGGCCTAAGAGCAAACACATACACAAGAAAAAAAAATTACAATTGTTTGTCATTCTCTAAATTTAGCTCCGTCTCATTCTCCTCAGGCAAGAGTTAAGTTCACTTGGGCATCTGAATCTTGTTCAAACTCACAAGAAGGCGTTAAATCGACAACATTAAATGTGGTGGACACATAATAATCTTTTGGAAGTATATGTTTCACAATACAAAATGGATCAACTGCCTTTTGTTCAAGCTTTCCAAAAGCGTTAGGTGGAAAGCATTCTCACCGTAGATAATTCCATACCAAATCACCCTTATTAAAGAAGCAATTTTTTAGTATTTATTAGCTTGATTTTGATATGTTGCATTCTGCTTTATAATCTTTTCTCAAACAAGTTCATTGAACCTCCATTTTTTTATACCGCTGCTCAAGTGTCCACACTACAATTATTGATCAGAACAAAGGGAATGTGTTTCATTTGTGATATGGGATTTTGA